GGGGGGTGTTCTTGTGCATTGGCAGCCCATTCAAAATGATCACACCGTGCTTCAATGCAACACACAAACACAGCAACCTGCGAGCCAGCCATTCATGTTACTCCTTCATTGCCCATAGCATGCTGTGGAACATTCATATCAACAAGCACTGAAAGCTCCATTAAAGTTATAAATATCTATGACATAATAACACAAATGACAGGACAGACATCCCCCTCACTCATCTCTCACATACGGAGAAATCTCCTCCATTGAACTCTGTGAAAAGGATACAAATGCAGCGGAGCAGCGGCCATCTTTACTGTTGTCAACGCCACCATTCATCACCATAGAGCGGCGGCGCTCTAGACATAAGCTCGGCCCTTCTATCCCCTGGAGGACCCGAGGAGATGGAAAACACATTGAGCTTGGGCGCCACCTGCTGGTCGTTATGGGAAATGACCATTAGCGGCTTTTAGCTTCATTTGCAGCTGCTTAATAATTAATTAGGTCGTCTCAAGATCAAACAGATTCTTCTGCATAACTGCTGCTGCAGTGCTCTGTTGCAGAATAAGTCCCTTGCTATACCACTGTGGAGAGCTGCGCCATTCCAGAACACTGGATACCGATGGGGTTTTTCCTCCATTGACATGAATGTAAATGCATTAAAGTGTGTTGTCACGCAGTTTCAGTGCAAATCAAAAACTGGAGCAGACAGAATCTGTAGCAATTGCGGATTTATTTATTACAGGTACTTATATAGCGCCAGCAATTTACATAGTTGCACATTCACATCAGTCCCCACCTCCAAGGAGCTTACAATCTAATGCCCCTATGTCACATGCATACATACAGGGCCGATTTAGAGAGGAGCCAATTGACCTACCAGCATGTCTTTGGAGTGTGAGGAGGAAACCGGATTACCTGGAGGAAACCCACACCAGCACAGGGAGTGCATGCAAACTCCATGCAGATAATGTCCTGATCGGGATATGAATTGGGGACCCTTAGTGCTGCAAGGCCACTGTGCCGGGCCAATGTGAATGCCAACTAATCAGCTTCTCTAACGTAATATCTCTGCATCCTGGACACATATCAGACGTCAGAGCCGACTCCATATGCCACTATGTACCCATATCAAGACCACTGGACCTGCCAGCTACAGGTCCTCCTAACTGACGCGTTTCAGGGGCATACCCCCTTCCTCACAGTGTAGCAGCCCTGGCCGCCCCCACCTCGCT